GCTCCCCATATCATAGCTTCAGAAATAGCTTTTGCTAGTCTGCTTGTCTGAAAAGGGATCCTAAAATTCCAGATAGTTCCCCCAACCTGACAAGGCTTTAGGCAAAAATTATGTCTTTCTGATTGGTGAGCCTGGGTACCTAAAGAAGGGAACAGAGTCCTGAAGTTTATACTAGAAATCATTCTTATAGGAGAAACTAGAAAAGCACAAGAGACAGGGAGTGGTTTTTAGAAGCAGGACTAGCCTTGGAGAAAAGAGACAAGAGAAAGTTTGTCTGACAGGTATTAGGACCCAGGAGGCAAGGGTCAGGATAGATAGGATAGATGGGTGAGTCTTGCTTGGGCAACGTGACTTTGAGAGTTCTGCTCATGGCGGCAGGGCCAACCAACTTATTGTTGGGACCCCAGAGCTGAATGGCTTTCCTCTCTGTCGACCCTCGGCTTAGCCCAGAAGTGCAGGAGAAGTGGAAACTGGTTCCAGGCAAACCAACGCTCCCAACTCTGAAGAGAGCCCGTTCCCAGAAAGCCTGACACCCATGTCTTTAGTCCGGCGGCCGCGCTAGTCACTTTTAACTGGCCCACAGGTGCCCGGTATGTAGCCCCCAAATTCTGAGGAAAAATAGAACAGAATACCAAGTGAAAGGGGTCCAATGGTACTCAACACTTGGCAATAGGCGATTGTCCCATCTGGGTCGCCAAAATATGTCCCATCTGGGTTGCCAAAATGTGTCTGGAATTGGTTCCTTCTGGTGGGTTCTTGGTCTTGCCCACTTCAGGAGTGAAGCTGCAGACCTTTGCAGTGAGTGTTACAGCTCTTAAAGGTGACACGTCTGGAGTTGTTTATTCCTCCTGGTGGGTTCGTGGTCTCGCCGTCTCACTGATTTCAGGAGTGAAGCCACAGACCCTCGCAGTGAGTGTTACATCTCTTAAAGGGGGCACGTCCAGAGTTGTTTTTTCCTCCCAGTGTGTTCATGGTCTGGAAGCCACAGACCCTCGTGAGTGAGTGTTGCATCTCTTAAAGGGGGCACGCCCAGAGTTGTTTTTCCTCCCAGTGTGTTCATGGTCTTGCTGACTTCAGGAATGAAGCCGCAGAGCTTCACAGTAAGTGTTACAGCTCTTAAAGGTGGCACGTCCAGAGTTGTTTGTTCCTTCCAGTGGTGTTGTGGTCTCGCTGATGTCAGGAATGAAGTCACAGACCTTTGCAGTGAGTGTTACGGCTCTTAAAGGTGGCGCTCGCCTGGGGTTGTTTTTTCCTCCCGGTGGGTTCTGTGGGTCTTGCTGACTTCAGGAGTGAAGCCACAGACCTTTGCAGTGAGTGTTACGGCTCTTAAAGGTGGCACGTCCAGAGTTGTTTGTTCCTCCCAGTGGGTTCGTGGTTTTGCTGACTTGTGGAGTGAAGCCACAGACCTTCGCAGGAAGTGTTACAGCCTTAAAGGTGGCACGTCCAAAGTTGTTTGTTCTCCCAGTGGGTTCGTGGGTTTTGCTGACTTGTAAATGAAGCCGCAGACCTTCTCCAGTGAGTGTTATAGCCTCCAAAGGTGGCGATCCAGATGTTTGTTCCTCCCGATGGGTTCGTGGTCTTGCTGATATCAGAAATGAAGCCTCAGACCTTCACAGTGAGTGTTACAGCTTATAAAGGTAGTGCAGACCCAAAGAGTGGGCAGCAGCAAGATTTATTGTGAAGAATGAAAGAACAAAGCTTCCACAGCTTGGAAGGTGACCCAAGCAGATTGCGGCTGCTGGCTCAGGTGGACAGCTTTTATTCCCTTATTTGGCCCTGCCCACGTCCTGCTGATTGGTCCATTTTACAGAGTGCAGATTGGTGCATTTACAATCCTTTAGCTAGACACAGAGCGCTGATTGGTGCATTTTTAGAGTGCTGATTGGTGGATTTACAATCCTTTAGCTAGACACAGTGCTGATTGGTGCTTTTTTACAGAGTGCTGATTGGTACATTTACAATCTTCTGCTGATTGGTGCATTTACAATCCTCTAGCTAGACAGAAAAGTTTTCCAACTCCCAAGTAGACCCAGGAAGTCCAGTTGGCTTCAGCTTTCAGAAGGAATGGGAATCAAGAATGTGATTCATATGTTAAGTGTGAAATGTCTGTAAGACACCTGTTTTTGTCTGCTAGTGTTGCCATAACAATATACCATGGACTGGGTAGCGTAAACAACAGAAATTTATTTTTCTTACAGTTAGGAGGTTGAAAGTCCAGGATGAAGGTACTGACAGGGGTAGTTCCTTCTGAGGCCCTTGTCCTTGGGTTGCAGCAGCTGCCTTCTCCCTGTGTCCTCTCATGGCCCTTTCTCTGTGTATGCACGTCACTTGTCTCTTCTACTTCTTGTAAGGACACCAGTCCTGTTGGATCAGGGCTCCATCCTTATGACCTCATTTAACCCTAATTAGCACCTTAAAGGCCCCATCTCCAAATACAGTCACATTGGAGTTTAGGGCATCAACATTTGAATTTTGAAGCCCTGTAGACACAATTCAGTCCATAACACCACCGCCTAAGTGAAAATTTCAAATAGATGTTTGGGTAGAAGTCTGGAACTCATGTGGACTGGGGACAAACATTGAGAAGACGCCAATACACAATTCTTTTAAGACATGAGCCTAAATAAAATCACCTGTGGAGAAAGTACAGAAGAAAAAGAGAAGAGGGCCTGAGGAACATGAGCATTTAGAGATAGTCTCCAAAACATGGTGTTTAATCATTCAGTGGCTCATGGCTTCAGTCTCTGCTCTAACCTTGAACATTTATCTAACCTTATTTTAGTCTCATTATATCACATCACATCCCTGATGTGTCTCCAGACTTTAACTTTCCTGTTTCTATATCCATGTTCTGTTCTCTGTGCTAATCCTGATTAAGCCCAGCTGTGCTCTTCTCTGGGCCTAAGCCTCATTGGAAGGCTAACATTTCAGGGAGCAAATTGAAGTGGACTTAGAGGAACTGAGAAATTCATTTCTTCACAGCCCCTTTTTGAGGGGGATCCTTACCTAAGGAACTTATATTTGTATTCTAGGGGACAGAGGCAGACAGTAAGTACATAAATAAACATAATTTCTCACTGTGAGACATGCTATGAAGGAGATAAACAGGGCACTCCACTAGACAGTCAGGGCAGAGCTGCCTTTAAAGAGGGTGGTTAAGAACTACCGAGCTACAAGAAAGAAGGGACCCACGTCTGCTCCCCAGGGCTCTCTGACATTTAGAGACTGATAAAATAACTTACAAAGCCACCCCAGTCAGATCAGAATTTTTGCGCTTTCTGTGCTTTCTTATATCATTTCAACAAAGTTTTTTAAGCTGTAGAAGGGATACTGAGAAACGTTTTACTCATTTTAAAAGATTTTCTTAATTTTTACACAACACAATTAGAAGAATGATTGTTTTTTGGTTACATTCTGCTTTCTGAAAGCAATCACTAGGTTGCAGTGAGCCAAGATTGCGCCATTGCACTCCAGCCTGGGTGACAAGAGTGAAACTCCATCTCAAAATAAAAAAGAAAAAAAAGAAGACGACGACCTTTTTAGGCAGTAGCATTGAATGGAAACAGGATGAATGACAAGAAACCAGCCAGGAAAAGAGTAGTACTGATAGAGGAACAGCAAAAATAAAGAAGCTGATGTAGGAAAGGGTTTGGAATATTCAAAGAACAGAAGGGAAGCCACTCAAGGTTAGAGAAAATAGCCAGGGCTAGAGCAAATAGAACATCATTAGTCATGGTTTAGAGCTTGGATTCTGTCGCTGGCTAGTCTGCAAGGATGGTTTGAAGGGGGCAAGAATGAAAGCAGAGACTAATTGGGAGACTCCTCCAGAAGTTAAGGAGAAAGGTGATGGAGACTTGAAAAGAGTGGGCAGTGGATGTGGCAGGAGCTGGATTAATTTGAGGTAATCATAGAGGTAGAATCAATGGGAATTGGGTATTGGGGGTGAAGAGGTAGAAAGCATCAGGGCTCTCTAGGTTTGAAGCTTGAGCAGCTAGATGAATGATGGTGTCATTTACTGAAATTAGAAAGACTGGATGTGAGAGAAATAGATTTATATTAGGGAGAATCAGTTTCAGGGTAGAGATCTGAATTGGAAATGGGATTCATCTATATAGCTATATATCTATAGGTATATAGATGATCTATAGATATACATATATACATGTAAACATATATGTATATATATGGTATTTAACCCAGGGAATCTCAAAAGGAGAGCATGTACATAGATCAAGATTTCTCAACCATGGCGCAGCTGGCATTTCAGATCAAATAATTATTTGTGTGGGGGCTGTCCTATACAATGGAGAATGTTTAAGCTGCATCCCTGACCTCTACCCACTATTTGCTAGAGATCCCCCTTCCTCTTCCCTTGAGTGGTGACAACTTAACAACAAAAATGTCTTCAGACATTGCCAGATGGCCCCTGGGGTTCAAAATTATTCTTGCTTAAGAACTACTGAGCTAGAGAAAAGAAAGGACCCATGTCTGCTCCCCAGGGCTCTCTAACATTTAGAGACTGATAAAATAACTAACAAAGCCACCCCAGTCAGATCAGAATTTTTGTGCTTTCTATGCTTTCTTCTATCATTTCAACAAAGATTTTTAAGCGATAGAAAGGAAACTGAGAACATTTTACTTATTTTAAAAGATTTTGTTTTGTTTGTTTTTACACAACACAATTAGAAGAATGACTGTTTTTTGGTTACATTCTGCTTTCTGGAAGCAATCACTAGCCAAATGTCACTGTTTGTGATTGAATTCTACTTTTAATCTTTCTCAATGACATGTCTGTAGTTCATATTTCAATATTTTTCCTGATGTTAGGAGTTTGATCAAAGTCGTTTTTAAGCATAGTCAGTATTGGCTAGCCAAAAAAAAAAATTTTTTAAAAACCTTAATAGGTTTTAGAGTCATATATGCTTCTGTAGTTTGTGGAGCTAAACAGATGATCTGATTACCCACAGTATCAAAATTTAACAAGTTTTATTTTCTTACAGCATTCCGTGGCAATAGATTCTGGTTTCAGGAACTCTGGCATAACAGTGGGAAAGAGAGGAAAAATTATGTTGGTAAGATATTTTGTCAAAGAGCAATCTTTTTTAGTGTAAAGTGATCCAGAGATTGAATAACCTAATTAGACTCCTTCCTTTAATGTCTCCTTTCTCAGTCTTCTTGCCATTCTCTTACTCATAAACCTTCAGTGACTAACTCCTTCCTACAGGGCTAAGTCCAGAGTTTAGATTTACATTTGAGGTCTTATTTTATAATATTCTTCTCCATTTACTTTTAACCTGATTCTTAACTCTGCCCTCCTCATTAAGTAGGCAAAGCCCAAAAGCACTGTGACGTCATGGAAAGAGTCATAGAGAGAGTCCAAAGTCCCGTGTACTGATGCCTGCTGGATCACAGCTGTACTGTGTGAATTTGGGCAAGCTCCTCGGTCCCTCAGGTTTTGAATTTTCTCAGCAGTGTCAGTGGTCCAGCAAACTACTGTCCTAGGGCCACATTCAGCCCACATGGGGCCAGATCCCACTAGACTCATTTGATTACTTATTGTCTAAGGTTGCTTTTGTGAGACAATGGCAAACTTTAGTAGGTGTGACAAATACTATATGGCTTTCGAAGTCAAAAAATGTTTCCTATCTGTCCTTTTAGAGAAAAGATTTGCCGACCTTTCGACTAGATGATCTTTAAGACTTGCTTTCTTTTCGAGTCCTTCTCTAGGCAAGCTAGCCTTTAGATATTTTGCCCTATTCTGATTTCTTGGTATTTACTGTTTGGCATGACATGTTTTTGAACTATCTGAGATTACCCTCCTTCTATCTTCCTATACTCTCCTATTTTCTACCTATTTTTAACAATAACGTATTTCCCAAATAGGGGTGTATGACAAAAGAGGACACCCTTAAAGCATGGCTAAATAGAAAATCAAAGCCTGGCTGGATGTGGTGGCTCATGCCAGCACCTTGGGAGGCCAAGGCAGGCAAATCATGAGGTCAAGAGATTGAGACCAGCCTGGCCAACGTGGTGAAACCCCATCTCTACTGAAAATACAAAAATAAGCTGGGCTTGGTGGTGCGCACTTGTGGTCCCAGCTACTCGGGAGGCTGAAGCAGGAGAGTCGCTTGAACCAGGAGGTGGAAGCTGCAGTGAACGGAGATCACACCACTGCGCGCCAGCTGGACAGAGCGAGACTCTGTCTCAAACAAAAAAGAAAAGAAAATTAAAGCCCGTGGTACTGTGTGTCCCCATCTCACTCTTTACTCCATCTGGTAACCCAAGTAAAAACAGCCATTCTTTCACCTTCTTCTTTGTTTCCATATTCAATTCATTATAGGTCCTATCCATGCTGCCCCTTGTTTCTAATACTTGACCCCACCCTAGGTCTTCTGGTACTGCCCAGTCCTCAGGATCCCTAACCTCAGTGTTTAACATTGTCTCCTGACTAGTCTTCCTACTTTGGGCCTTCTCCTTGAGTCCGTCCAACCAGCGCTATCAGAATCCCCCTTTAAAAAGCTCAGGGCGTCGGCTTGGTGCAGTGGCTCATGCCTATAATCCCAGTACTTCGGGAGGCCAAAGTGGGTGGATCACCTGAGGTCAGGAGTTTGAGACAACCTGACCAACATGGTGAAACCTCGTCTCTACTAAAAATACCAAAATGAACCGGGCATGGTGGCATGTGCCTATAATTACAGCTACTTGGGAGGCTGAGGCAGGAGAATTGCTTGAACCTGAGAGGCAGAGGTTGCAGTGAGCCGAGATCGTGCCACAGCACTCTAGCCTGGGCGACAAAGCAAGACTCTGTCTCAAAAAAAAGAAAAAAAAAATCTCAGGTCCTCCAAACATTTTCCTGGTTATACAAGGTCTTACCCAGACTATTTTGCGTCTACCTGTTTATGTTCATCTCCCACTTACATACTTATGCTCCAGCCACATAGAACTATTAGTTGTTTTCCAACGGTATCATGCTCTTTCATGTCTCTATGCCCACAGATAAGTTGTCCCTCTGGCTGGACTCTGGCTGGAGTTCTTCCTCCGCCTTCCTCTCCTCCTCCTCCTCCTGTTTTTTTTTTTTGAAATAGAGTTTCGCTCTTGTCGCCCAGGCTGTAGTGCAATGGCTCGATCTTGACTCACTGCAACCTCCGCCTCCCAGGTTCAAGTGATTTTCCTGCTTCAACCTCCCAAGTAGCTGGGATTATAGGCCCTTACCACCATGCCCGGTTAATTTTTGTATTTTTAGTAGAGACTGGATCTCACCATGTTGGCCAGGCTGGTCTTGAACTCCTGACCTCAGGTGATCCACCTTCCTTGGCCTCCCAAAGTGCTGGGATTACAGGCGTGAGCCACCATGCCCAGCCCCTTCTTAATTTTTCTGTGTGTTGAAATTGCACTCATCCTTTAAAATCCCAACTCAATTGCTGCCTTTCCCATAAAGCCGAGTTCTTAGACTCAGTTAGTTGCTTCTCTTCAACATTTTCTTGCCATTGTGTGTGTATGTGTGTGTACGTACATGCACATACATGCATGTGTGTTTTGTCATAACTCTTAAAGTCAGAGGTCGTGTTATAGGCACCCTGTATCTTCATGCCTTATAGGGAGCCTAGAACATTGCAGATGCTCAATAAAAGTTTATGGAGTGGGCAGGCACAGTGGCTTACGCCTGTAATCCCAGCACTTTGGGAGGCCAAACGAGTGGATCACCTGAGATTGGGAGTTCAAGGCCAGCCTGACCAATATGGAGAAACCCTGTCTCTACTAAAAGTACAAAATTAACCAGGCATGGCACATGCCCGTAATCCCAGCTACTCTGGAGGCTGAGGCAGGAGAATCGCTTGAACCTGGGAGGCAGAGGTTGCCGTGAGCTGAGATCGTGCCATTGCACTCCAGCCTGGGCAACAAGAGCAAAACTCTGGGGAAAAAAAAAAAAAAAAAAGTTTATGGAGTGAATTTTTATTCTCATAATAATTTTTACAGCATTTGTATGGTTGTTCTTAACCTCTATCCAGTGTTTGCCTCTACTTGGAACACGTTGACTGTTTCATCAACAGGGCTATTAAGACTGTGAACCCTAAAGCACTGAGAAGCAGCTCCTGTGTATGATAGAGGAGGCATGGTTTACTCTTGTAACCGTGCTCTGCTCCAAGAGCACTGAGACTCTTTGGCATCCAGTTCCTTTTGATTTTCCCTTGAGATTTCCGTTGAGCTTTTATTTCTTTAAGTTGTGTATTATGGCTTTCTAAGCTATAGTGAGATTGAAGTTGTTAAAAGTTATTTGATTCTTTGATATCATCTGCCTCTCTGAAAGATAATGTATAGAATGTCTTTCTTTAGAAATGACTGTAGATGATGGAAAAAATTTTATTTAATCTCCTTTAACTGTGTTCAGCTAAATTCTATCAAAGCACTAACCTAACTGCTGTAATGGAACTAAAGTATGTTCAAACACAGCCCTGACTGGGACTTTTCTTGAGTTATTTTCAGTATCTCTGGTATCTAAGTCTTCATATCTAAATTGTTTTTTCCTTGTAGGCTGTCCGGAGTACACATGGCTTAGAAGTTCCATTAAGCCATAAAGGAAAACTGATGGTGACAGAGGAATATATTGACTTCCTGTTAAATGTGGCAAATCAAAAAATGGAGGAAAACAAGAAAAGAATTGAGAGGTATATTAACTGGGTATTTCCATGTTATTCTTATATGCCTAGGTCATCTTTGAAAACATTAATACATACCATCTTCAGTTTATAATGCTAATTGCTCATCTATTTGTAGATAATTAAAAATACTTTTATTATCATTAATAATAAAAAGATGATCAAAGTAATAGATGAGAGTAGGTCAGGCTGCCATGGGCACTAAATGGAGCATACGGGAGAGGCTTTCTGGGGAATGGTAGGGCACATGACCACCAGAAGCCGGCATAAAGGGGAGAAACATAATCATTCCAGAAAGACAGTCCAGCAGCTACAGGAACCGTAACTGATCACTTTGAAGGCAGCCAGGGAAGAGGTGCATATTGCCCCTAGATGTGACCTATCAGAGATTACCTAGACTTTCCTGTTTAGGGGAACAGCCTGGTTGACTTTTTGTCTGATAAATATTTCACTTCTCTGGCTTAAGCTAGTTTAATACCAAACTTTTGTCATGGATTAGATCTAGAATTACCATAACTTTCTAAGTAGGAAGGTATAGCTTTCATTTCACATCTCCATACTTCTTTTGTTCTTCATCGTTACCTCCTGGCAAAGGAAACTTTTATTTTCTTTTACAACTTTTTCACAAGAATAAAGATTTTATATAAAGTAGTAAATACTGTGCTATCTTTCATATATGAAAGTAATGCCACTAACCTGCCATCAGCTAGATGCACAGTTTTGAGTTATCCAAGGAGTAATAGCCATTTTGATGTCATTTATAATTTTCTTTTTTTCTTCTCCCCACCCTTTTGGCTACCTCCATTCAGTCAATCGCTGCCTGAATATCTCTTCAGTCATTCTGTCTCCATCCATACTGCTGCTTTTCTCCTTCACAACCATCGCAATAGCCTCATTCAGGATGCTTCTAGTATGCCTGTCTGCTAAGCCATTCTTTATCAAATCATGTTTGTAAAGAGCAAAGGATTCCTATTGCTTAACTTGCATGCTTAAGATTCTTTAATACTTGGAACTTTTTTTGAAGCATTGAAGGCCAGGAGTGCTAGTGGTGGCAGTGTAAAAGGGTGAAGTGAAGTAGAAGTAGGCCACCGAGGCAGAACTGGGTTCAAATCCTGGTTCTGAGTTACTCAGTCTGGTTCCACCAAATTGCTCAACTCTCTGGACTTCAATTTTCTTATCTCTGACTTCTGGGAAATACCTATCTTAAAGAATAATTATTATATTCATTAGGTAGTGTATTTATAATGACTGCCCTGACTCTGTTATGTTTTGGACTCTCAGGACAGGATAGCCCTTCTCCGTCTTTGATTGATGGAGAATAAACCTATAACCATAAAAATATCACCATCCAGGCTTTCTCAGCTGAGGTTCCTCATTCGAACCACACAATTCACCAAGTTATTTGAGTGACTATTTTCTGAATTCTCTCAAGGATTTTATGTAACATGTACTATTTTAGATACGTTGGAGAGAAGTTAATTCATTACTTACAATGGATGTCTTAGGGTACTAGAGCTTAATTTTCCAGCCACACCCTGGTTGAGAAAAACTGACCACCAAAACCTGGCCACAAAATGCTTTGAGCAAGTATTCTAACTAAAGTAATACTTTTAAATAAGCAACAACCCACTCCACCAGACTACAGATTACTATACGTAAGTATTTACTGGTACCATTCCATAAGTTTACCACTTACTAAATTGTAATCCAGTGAGACTGTTTGCTAAAACATAGGAGGTAGCAAATCAGTTTTCTCCATTTCCTTACTTGAATTTTAACAAGCTTATAAATAGAGCCCAAGATCAACTAACTATACACCTGGTGAAGTTAATTGAGCCACATTCACCAACTATAAAATCAAATTATGCTTAAATCCATTGACTCAAAAATATGTTTTGAGATTATAATGTGCATGCTGCCATTAAGAGCCATGCTTATCATATAAAATCAGGGAAAAATTAAAGAAGGGTAAAAATGTCTTAAGATACTGATTAGAAGATTACATGTGAATTTAGAAAGTGAGAACAAATTAAGGAGCTCCTTTGGGAACAGCTGTATGTTCAACCAAATGCAGAGAAAGAGTTATTCTTCTGATGTTGACAAGAGAAAAAAATACTGGAGGTGATGAGTTATGCAATCAGACATTAATTAAGTACTAAGATTGGTTTGCCAAAGGACCAAAGTTTCACAATTCAGAGAATTTCAAAAACTCAAAAACTCCTGAGAAACATTTCAGCAATAAGAAATATTCTAGAAATGTGAAAATTAGACAGGTCAAATATTTTTAATAAAAAGAAGGCCTTGTTCATGAGAAACAATTCCTAAGCCCACTTCTTAGTGGGAAGAGACTTATCCATTGGGTTCCTGTTTCTGGAGCTGTCAAGACAAGACCTTCAAACAGCAGCCTGCTTTATAAATAGCTAATTTGGAGACTGGAAGAGACAGGAACTGACACCAGATGTAGGAAGACAATCCATACATAACGATCTAGAGAACTTTGGATAGCTATTGACTAACTACAAGAGGAAGGCTATCTTTGAATCTGTTAATAAGCAGTCAGCATATGGGTCAGATGAAGCCACCATCTGGCTATGAGTAGCATAAAACTAGCCATGTTCTTTTCACCAACTGTGTAATGAGAAAATATTACATAAAATGCGTAATAAAAGGGCAGAATATATTGTCATGTAATATTGTTGATAAAACAAATCTGGAAGAAAAGTAATTGAATCCACTTTCAATGGTTGATTTTTTTTTTTTTTTTACTCTATTTTGTGATAAAATGTATGTAATAGGAAATTTACCATTTTACCAGTGGCATTAAGTACATTCACATTGTTATGCAACTGTCACCACTGTCCATCTCCAGAACGTTTTCATCATCACTAACTAAATCTCTATTCCTATTAAACACTAACTCTCCATTCCTCATACTGCATTCCCCTGGTAACCACTATTCCATTTTCTCTCTCTATGAATTCCAGTATTATAGATAATTCATCTAAGTGGGATCATACAATATACATCCTCTAGTATCTGGCCGATGTTACTTAGTTAATGCAGGATTTATCCATGTTGTAACGTGTATCAGAATTTCGGTTCTCTTTAAGACTGAATAATATTCCATTGTATTTATAGACTGCATTTTGTTATTCATTGATCTGTCAATGGACATTTAAAGTGTCTTTGCCTTTTGGCTATTGTAAATAATGCTGCTCTGAACATCATTGGTGATAAATGATGATTGATGGTGATTGTACAAGTATCTGAGTCACTGCTTTCAGTTCTGTTGGATATATATACTCAGAAGTGGTATAGTGTAATCAAAGAAAGCTTCATGGAAGAAGTCACTGAGCAGGGCCTAAAATGCAGGCAGGGTTATTATATGAAGAGCTCTGCGGAAGGGAGAAATAGCATGATAGATAAAAAAAGAATAGCATGAACAAAGGAGAAAGAGATAGTACTATGGTTTGGCTTTGTCTCCACCCAAATCTCATCTTGAATTCCCATGTGTTGTGAGAGGGGGCTGGAGGGAGGTAACTGAATCGTGGGGGCAGGTCTTTCCTGTGCTGTTATTGTGATAGTGAATAAGTCTCACAAGATCTGATGGTTTTAAAACTGGAAGTCGCCCTGCACAAGCTCTCTTCACTTGACTGCTGCCATGTGAGACATGCCTTTCACCTTCCACCATGATTTTGAGACCTCCCCAGCCACATAGAACTGTAAGTTCATTAAATCTCTTTCTTTTTATAAATTGCCCAGTCTCAGGTATGTCTTTATCAGCAGTGTGAAAACAGACTAATACAGTAAATTGGTACCAGTAGAGTGGGGCACTGCTGAAAAGATACCCAAAAATGTGGAAGCAACTTTGGAACTGGGTACCAGTTCCAGGCAGAGGTTGGAACCGTTTGGAGAGCTCAGAAGAAGACAGGAAAATGTGGGAACATTTGGAACTTCTAAAGACTTATCTAATGGCTTTGACCAAATTGCTGATTATAATTTGGACAAGGAAATCCAGGCTGAGGTAGTCTCAGATGGAGATGAGGAACTTATTGGGAACTGGAGCAAGGTGACTCTTGTTAGGTTTTAGCAAAGAGACTGGCAGCATTTTACCCCTGCCCTCGAGATTTGTGGAACTTTAAAGTTGAGAGAGATGATTTAGGGTATTGGGCAGAAGAAATTTCTAAGCAGCAAAGCATTTAACAGGTGACTTGCGTGCTGTTAAAGGCATTCATTTTTATGGATCTTTGTTCCATTTTACCGGTTGTTTTGGTACCCTAAGGACATAGCTTTGAATTCTCAGGTTCTTTAACGGTTGATTAAAGTAAGGCATACATTCTTTTTTAATTATTTTTTTTTAATGTGATGAATGGCATCTGTTATTTGCCAAGCACAGCGCTAGATATCAACGTGTACAGTGATGAGTGTGTAAGTTCTTGAAAATGGACAGGATATGTACTCATCATGTTGTATATGTATTAGAGTTAGGTGATGTATTTAGGAATAGGTGGATATTTGGAGTTTTCGAGTTTTATAGGCTTTGTAAGTAGAACTTAGCCTGTTTATTGAATCAAACAAAGACGAAAATTGGTCCAAATAGAGATCTATTCTGTAGATATCAAAAATTTCCTGCCATAGTCTCCCATTATAATAGGACATAAAAGTAAGATGAGATCTCTGCAGTGGCAAGGGGGTTTCTTAACTTTCAGATCATTCTAATTTGGGACCTAGGATAATACATTTATAGTTACATTTTTAATCTGGGGTTATTCATTCATTTATTCAATATAGTCTTACTGAGGATGCCAGCACTCTACTGCATGCTAAGATATAACAGAAGACAGGTAGATAGGATCCTTGGTCTCTTGAAGTCTATATTCTATAAAAGTAGTCATTTTTGATAACTAATTCTCTGGGTACTTACATATATCATCTATAATCCTGTGACAACCCTGATAACTACAGGATAATAATATCCAGCTTTATAAATGTGAAAAATCAAGACTGTGGGAAATTAATTGGAATTAGCTGACATCCTGTTTCCCAAAGGAATGTTGGTATCAAATGCATGCAACACACCAGCTGCCTGCTGCCTTCCAACATAGACTGAAGGCTACTGTGTCAAGCAGAGTTTTGTGCTACGTGTTAACATGAGGGTAGAAAAGAAACGAGGCCTGGTTTTCAGAGAGCCTACAGTTTATTGTATCACAAAACTAACACTAAAACTCCAATAGAAAACTGAATAAAGGGAAAGAATAATTTACACTAAATATTCAAATAGCTAATAAATGAGAAACATTCTATTTTACTTACAAAGAGATGAAAGTTAAAATAATGCGATATCATTTCCACTCATCCAGGTAGAATGTATTTTTGGGTAGGAATATTGAGTGTATGGGTGTAGTGATCTCTCTCAAGTGCAGCTATTAGAAGCATATTTCTTTGAATATCTATTGTGGAAAACAAGCAGTATTTATCAAGAGTCTTGTAATGTTTATGCCCTTTAACCATGTAATGATATTTCTAGGTGTCTGTAGTAAAGAAGTGGCTAAAAACTCACATCACTTTCAAAAATGCTTACCACATTTTTGTTTGTATCAGGAAAATTTTGAATATAAATAAAGGCCAATCTAGGTGACATAATGATATACTGCCATTCTCAATAAATGTTAAACTTCAAAAAACAATGTAAAACTTTATATGTAATATTCTAATTGTGAAAAAATAGGTATATGGATTAATAAATACATTCATTCAGACTACATTAATAAACTGAAAAGAAAAATATTGAAAGCAGTTATTTCTAGTTATTTAGAGGTGATCTGTATTTGTAACCCCATACATTACACAAATTACGTAAAATCAGCCATTACATTTATGTAATTATAATTCCATTCTTTTTTACCCTCTTCTTCGACCCCTACATTTGGGAGGGAAAGTGAGGTAGGACAGAGATTGTCAAGAGGTGATTCCAATCCAATTTTCAGGGCTGTTCTTAAAGAACTAAAGTGCATTTGTTTCCCTAGAAAACATATTATTTATTTGATTTATTTTCTATTTATAAAGCTAATATGGGACATAGTCAGATTTATATAACTGATAAGCTCTTGGTGTATTTCAAGCATTTGGTTTCAGTACACACAGATATAACAGTAGTACTTATTTCTTTACAGGTTTTATAACTGCCTACATCATGCTTTGGAAAGGGAAACTATGACTAACTTACATCCCAAGATCAAAGAGAAAAATAACTCATCATATACTCATAAGAAACAAAGAAACCCAGAAAAAGCACATGCCCAGTGTATTACTAAAGAAAATGATAAAGAACTTGAAAATGATGATGACGATCTAGGAATCAATATTACCATCTTCCCCGAAGGCTACTAAGCTTTGGTTCTGACGTGTCTTGGTCGTAACCTTTCTAGTAGGTTTTATAAAGCTGCTCTTTATAAGAGTATTTTAGTTTGTTGAGTGTACCAGCCATTTAGAAAAATAAGATGTAATTTCTCTACATTTTAGAGAAACCTATCTTATGAAAATAGATGTCTTTTTAAAATAGCTTTGTGTGTTTGCTCATTGAATACTGCCTTTTTTAGTCACATAGAGATTTATTGCAAAAATAAAATTGTGATTTTTTAATGACTCTCTTTTTATTTGTTTTAATGTCTACTTCTGCAAAACAGGAAAACTAAGTACACCTTTTCAAGAAACGCTTAACACCAGATATATTTAAATAAAAATTATAATAATATTTTATTTGCTTTTAACTTTGAAACCTCCAGCCTTTAAAGGAGGGGTCAAAGTTTGGTTCTGTTGCCATGGAGTCCAGTAACAAGTTTTTTCCTCCCTTTGGACTTTGTGGATAAAGAAACCGATACATTTTTGTTCAGGACAAAATATCTGAACCCTCTCTCCCCAGCATTTTTCACAAACCAGAGCCTACCACTGACACAGTCTATGTGAAACACATGGGCGTAGTTTTTCACTAAGCCTGATGAGAAGTGACTACTAAGACCAAGCATCCTAATAGAACGAATGTGCTATGAAAAATTTTAAGGATCAAAAGCCTTGGGTTTGAATTCTGACTTCTACATGGAAGTTAGAGGTCCTTGAGCAAATCATTTAATTTCCTAGGGCTTCTATTTTCTCTTCTCCATAGTAGTGATTCTATTACCTGCCTTATTTATACCATAGGAGTGTTGCCAGTATCAAGTTTTAAAATGCAAACGCATTTACTAATAGATCATTATGCACATCTACTGTTTTAGAATAAAATGAGAATGAGTTCATACTGTTTTTTCAGAATGTACCAAGTCATAAAAATATATATTTAAAGGGAAATTGCTAATCATGGAACTAATAAATTATAAAAATACTAGAGTGTCAAATTATAAAAGGTAGTGAACGTTGAGTTGTGATTTGGGCATTTCCTAATAGTGTTATAGTTTATCTAAGTTAACTATGTGAATTAGATTTGCCCCTCATTTGCTTGTCTTAACAGGTAGCAGTTTGTATTCTCATTTTCAAAATAGGTAGAATTCTTGGACATCTGTTGTCCTCTAAATAAAATCAGAGGCGGTGTCCAGGCAGCTCTGACGTTATTGTAAGGTTTTTTCTTTTTTTTTTTTTCATTGTTTTGGACTGCTCTCTTTGGGGCCTATAAAATAAGATGCTGATATTTACTGACCTAATTTCTTTTAGTATTCCCACAACATTTAGGACATCTTCAAACAATCTTTTGTTTCATTGTTTGAGAAACGACTTCCACTGAGTCCTCGATCTCCTTGCTGTTCTGCAGCATGTGGTGCTGTTGGCCATTCTTGCATTCGTGATCTGCCCTGTCAGGGGCTTCCTGAATGCTGTCTTCTGAATCACCTCGCTGTTTATGGCAAGTCCTTGGTTCTTTTTCCCTCCAATACTTGTAGCAGTTTTCAACATTTATTGCATCTTGAAAAAAATATAAAAAGAACCCAGGAATCTCCAGGGAGGGACACTAGGTATTATATATACATACATACATATATATATATGTGTGTGTGTGTGTGTATGTATATACTCAGAAGTGGTTTTAATTGTAAACCAAAGGGTAATAACTTCGTAGGCATTACCAGATGTCTGTCTTTGGCCCTCATTTTGCATTTCTTCATCCCAGCCATCACATTAATTCCAGTAGACTTAACCCATCAGACGGTGATTCCCAACTTTCTTGCCCTGACTGGCCTCCTAAGCTTTGGCTAACTGCTGGATCTCTCCAGTAGAGCTGTTATTTTCTAAAACTTTTCTCTCTTGTTAGACTTCTCCTTTCCTTTGGCTAGAGAGAGCAGCCCTTGGTTGGGAAATTTTTTTTTTTTTTTGTCTGAGCCCATTGACACTTTCAGTTTGCTGGCTTTTGCAGTGCCTAGTCTAGGATATGTAAGGAGGAAAAACAAAAAACGGGAACTTGCCACTGTGTTGTTCTTCAGATCCCCCAAATCCCTATCTGGTCCACTTTCTTCTCTCTACCTGTCAGAGTCTTATGTTTGTTTTATATACAATGCTCAGAGTATTTAGTTGCAGTCAATAGAAGGAATAAAGTATGCCTATTCCATCTTCCCAGAATCAGAAGTCTAGTTTTAAGAAAGTACTGATAATATCAAATATCAAATTGTTGGGGTACATTGTTGAGGACACTTTTGCAAAGCCATTCAGATAGCCACAGATTCCTTATTTCAATGCTATGCCCCATCTTCCAGCCTGTGTGCTTTGCTGCTCTCGCTTCAGGCTACTGGATCCTCTCCAGCCTAAAGGAGAGAAGGAAATCCCTGGAAGCCTGTATCCCGTGCCCCCCACCAACCATACACACACTCATTGTCTTTCCTGCACCCCCCATCACATGCACACACTCCTTGTCTCATAAGCCAGTAATGACAAGTGTGGAGCTTCAGACTATCACTTTGTTGCCCAGAGGATAGGCCCTGCTGCAGATCTTCCAACCAGAATCTTAATCCTGGAGCCTAGGAATCTTTATTTTTCAAACAACTCATCCAAGTTGTTCTGATAAAATCAGCCCAGCACTTTTAGAACTCACTGATAACAGACTTATTCCTGAAGACAGCATTTGAGGAGAAATTGAAGATTTTCTAATGAAAAAAAAAAGGGGGGGTCACATGAACAGATGTTGCAGTGTACCTGTGCCATAGATTTCGTGCGTACACTTTATAGGAGAGTAAGCAAGAGCTTAGGTAAACTATAGTCCTTACCATTGGGTCTAAGGCAGTGTCCAGGAAACCTTGGCAACTTGTTCAGCTGTGTAAGTTGAACTCTGTACCACTTGGGAGGGAACATTCCCCTAGACGACAATGTCAATGGCGCTCGTTGAAGTTGTGCAGTGCACATCCTTATCTACCAACATATACAGCAGTCCTTCTGGGAAGGGAGTTTTGTCAGGAAAGGATACTCAGTGTCAGAATGCCTGGAGCATTTCTTCTAGTCTAGTGGACAGAATATGGAAATATCTGCCTGGCAGTGCAGTAAATGAAAAGAGAAATGAATAGTAACAAAAAAAATGTTATAAATAAGAACCATAGGAAAGAGAGAGTGCAGGTGGAACAAGCCTATCCTGTGGTGAAGTGACAACACATTCTACAGTGTTAAAATCTCTCTGAGAGGCTCATTGACTTTTCTTCACTCATTTAAATTGATCTCCAAAAGAACTATGTATTTTAAAGATTCCATAAACTGACATGTGAATGAGGACCAAGAAGAGAGGGGCTGCTTCCCAATCTGTTTATATAAGGTAACAGAATTACTTTGGTTAGTAGTGAGGAGATACCAGGTGCTGGCCATACAACTGAGAAGACATTGAATCCCATTCACTCCTTAACATTCCTTCTTATACAGTCACGAGCTATGTAACAACATTTCAATCAATGATGGACCATATGCCATATACCATATGGTGGCCCCATAAGATTATAATGGACCTGAAAAATTCCTATTGCTAGTGATGCAGTCATTGTAAAGCTATAGCACAACACATTACTCACGTTTGTGGTGACAGTCATATAAAACTGTGGTCCATACAATTATGTACAGGGCATAATACTTGATAATAAATATGTCACTGGTTTATGTATTTACTGTGCTATGCTTTTTATCATTATTTTAGGGTATACTCCTTCTACTTAAAATGTTAACTGTAAAACAGCTTCTGACCAGTCCTTCAGGAAGTACTCCAGAAGAAAGCATTGTTATCATAGAAAATAACAGCTTCCTGTGTGTTATTGCTCCTGAAGACCTTCCAGTGGGATAAGATGTGGAGGAGAAAGATAGTGATACTGAGGATTCTGACCCTGTGTAGGCTTAGGCTAATGTGTGTGTTTATATCTTAGTTTTTCACAAATGGTTTTTCCAATGTTAAAAAAATAGAAAAAAAAAGCTTATAGAATAAGGATATAAAGAAATATTTTCTATAGCTGTATAATGTGTTTGCTTTAAGCCAAGCATTATTACAAAAGAGTCAAAAAGTTTTAAGAAATTAAAGTTTATAAACCAAATGTTCATTGTAAGCTAAGGTTAATTTATTCTTGAAGAAAGAAAAAATGTTTAATGAAATGTAGTATAGCCTAAGTGTACAGTGTTTATAAAATTTATAGAGTAATACGTTTATACAGAACATCCTAGGCCTTCACATTCACTCACCACTCAGTGACTCACCCAGAGCAACTTCCAGTACTGCAAGCTCCATTCATGGCATGTGCCCTGTACAGGTGTGCTATTTTTCACCTGTTATACCATATCTTAATTGTACCTTTTCTATGTTTAGATATGTTTAAGTACATAAACACTTATCATTGTGTTACAGTTGCCCACAGTAGTCAGCACATTAACATGCTGTACGGGTATCGTACCCTAGAAGCAATAGGCTCTACCATGTAGCCCAGCAGTGATATTTGCATGACTAAATCACCTTACAACCCATTTCTCAGAACATGTTTCTATTGTCAAACAACACACAACTATTTTATTTATGTATTTTATTTATGCCTGATCAACAATATCAATAACTGAAACACAGCAGTTTAGTAATAATTTAATACACACGATAACCTACCTATTGAGAATGGCTTTATATTTGTTTTCATTGTAGTGGATCCATCCAAAATAAAAGTAGTTATTTCCTTCCTCCAGGATAAAGGCAAACATTTCTTCCTAAGGTCTGGATTCTCCATATCACCTACAAGTTAACTGCTTTTGTGTTCTAAAAGAGAGAGGAAAAATGAAGTTGTCAATCTTATTGAAAAAAAAGAGGGAAACTAAGGAACATGCTTTTGCTTTTGAGGTCCTAGGCCAGAAGTTATAAACTATAACTTGGCCAAGTTATGGCCAAGCAGATATGTTTTGTTTGGCCCACACAGAGTATATTTTTTCTAATTGAATCAACATTTTAAAATATCATGATTTCATGTTTAAAAATAAAAAGTGCATCTCTAGTTTGTTTTGTGTGTGTGATTTTATTGGGAGATCTGGCTACAACAGTCTCACATTCCCGCAGGACAACACTTAGCCAGTCAAGTACTAGCTCCTCCTTCTGGATAAGACTTGGTTTCCTATCCACCCCAGACCCAGCACCCCCTACTGGTTCCCTGTCACAACTGCTTCAAT